ATAAGTTTTTATTAAAAAAATTAAACTTTTTAATAAAAACACAAGCAAATTTGCCTGTGTTACAATTTAAGGGATAGCATTTTTAGTGATTTATAGCAATTCTTTAACAATCTATATTAAGGAATATCTCAATTCAAATTTGTAGCTAAAAACAAAAAAATATAAATATACACTTCATAGATTTTTATTTCTTTCTTGCATATATTGCAAGTAAATATTACTCAATTGTGATCTCAAGAATAGTATTGGGAAAATAATAGACAATATCAAAAATACAACTATATAAAAACACTTTTTTTTAATTGCCGGGCAGGATACTATATTACTAGGGCGCAGTAAACACATTTGTGTTACAATTTGTATGACTTAAAATATTACGGTTAACAAAAATATATGTTTCTTGAATAAGTATTCTACTTTTCAAATACTATAGAGTATTACGAACTATGCAAATTAGATGAAACTGTACCTTCGAAAAAACAAAATCTATTCACTCCCAAACATCTATTTAAATTAGAAGTTGTGAGCATCTCTGAGTCTGAAAAGACAAAAATAATAGTATATTTATTTCTAGGAACTAAATTTCCAAAAATATATCCATGGATATCTGGTAAAAAATGTAGTTATAAAATACCAAAAGTCAGGAGTAAAAATTTTGGTAAAAGGTATATTCTGTGTGATGATCTAATTGTTGTTATACAACATCAATATGAAGAGTCATGGGAAACAGTACAATGTTTTTTATGAATTTATAGCTATAGATAAGCAAGCTCTATAGTATAAAAATATAAGATTTAAACTGATCACACCTAAAGAAATACCTGATATTTCATCTTTCAAAAGAACTAGCCGATTTACTGTTATAGTCTTTGATGATCTTGCTAGTAAGCCTCTAACAACTCAACTAAAAATTATACCTTCTTTAGATCAAGTAAACATAAAGAAATTAGTGCAATTTATATTGCTCAGTGTTTTTATGAAATCCATCCAAACATACATGCAAATCTTAAATATATTTCATTGCATCATAGATGTGGAACATTAGATAGTATAAAATGAATTCTTAAAGATATGTATGATGATTATAAGCCTCTAGCAAAAAAAGTTTATGAAGTGATAAAAAAACATTTCGTGGTCATTGATATCTAAAAACTATCTGATAACCTCTTATCAATTAGATTTAGATAAGACAAACCTTTAAAGGATTAGTAAAATGATTGAATTTGGGATAATTCTTGTTTTGTGGCCTCATCTATATTCATAAAGTAAAGTTTTATAGGGGGTAGTCCTGTTTTTTGGTTCTTTTGCATAATAAATCAGAAATCTATAACTCTAATTTCTATCAAAAGGTAATTTATATTTCAGAAAATTTTTTGTTTGCTTTTTAGCAGAAATAAAAGAATATAGTTTAGAAAAGATAGACCATAAAAAGTATATGATTAGTAATATTATTACAAGAAAGATTGCAAGCTGAAAAAAGAAAAAATTATTAGCTAAAGCTTTGCTAGCTTCTAGAAGAATAATGGGTGATACTGAGGTAAGTTCAGGACTAGTATTACTATTATACAAAGCACCTCTCAGCCCTTTCTCTTGTCCACTAACATCTGAGAAATCACTTTGACCAGAGGTGCTTGGGCATAACCCTCCAGCCACTTTATTATGTGATCCCTTTAGGTCTGCTTCCGCATTATCTACAGAAATTGTTTGGGGTAAAAGATTAAGAGTAGAAAGGGTGGCTTTACTTTGTAATTCCTCAAGTTGCAATAAACCATCCATAGGTAGAGGTGTGTGCTATTCTACTTTTAACTTTCAGATAAGACTATCTTTCTTAAATAGTTCAAGTTTTGCTAAAAATAAATCATCTAATATCCATTTATGTATTATATCTGTTGCCTCTATCTCTTTTCCATATATTCTATTTCATGTTTTTTTTGAGAATAATTCATCCTTTACTCACTTCAATTCAAGCTTAAGAGAATCAATTTTAGATTGGGATATGCATCTAGTTCTAGGTTCTTTAGCTCAGCTTCCAATTCACCTATCTTAGATTCAAGAGAAAGAATTGTAATCTTGTCAGAAGATGAAACTTTTTGGGCCGAAGTCACTTCCTTCTTTATTGTTTTAATCTCAGATTTAAGCGATTAGATTTCAGCAGAATAATTAGCTCACTCTGCTTTATACTCAGTATAGGATTTCTGTTTAGAAGATCTAAGCCTAGTATTGGACGCATTCAGCTAGCTAATCTTTTTGCTAGTATCAGCTTGAACTAGTATGAAATTCTCTTTTTGCTTTAAATACATATCCTGCAGGTGTTTATATTCATTAGCAAGATCAGAAACAGTTTTAATACTACTAAGCAATACTTTCTCAAGTTCTAATTCATAGAATCTACCCAACCAGTGATCTGACCTCTCCAAAACCCTTCTATTCTCAATATCTTTTAAAGTGTATATATTGGACATATTTTTTTTTCAACTTAGTTATTAATATATTTAAAAAATTTATAAGTGAAATTCTTCATTAATATCCTTATTAATAGCTAAAAATAAATTAAATAGTGGATAACTAATATTAATAATACCTATAATTTGCAAACTATCAATTATTATATATATAGTAGAACTATGACTAGATATTTAAGATCTGATATATCTCTGTTTTCTTCTGAAGATTATTCTTATATTATGCAGTATTGTAATATAAAACTGATGTATAAAATTTTAAATAAGTTGATAGATAAGTATAAAACATTATTAAAACATATTTATCAAATGAAAAGAGAACAGAAACATCTTATTAACTTTATACAAAATATGTTTTCTTCGAATCAGACTCAAATAACTAAAAATTTAACAGTAGGAAAAAAGAATTTTATAACTGAAACCCTTATTGATTTAAGTACTGACTTGCTAATAGATAATGCAGTGCCCAATAAAGATGAGAAATTGCTTGATACAATGCTTCTATATTCTAAGATTAAATCTCACAATATCCATCTTTCTATTGAATCGCAAGATATTGTAAGTTTTTATTGTTATTGCTTGTGGTTATACCAATCAAATTTTGACAGAAAATATTAATTAAATACTAATTAAAAAGAATAACAAATCAAATAAGAATTAGATATTAACTAATATATCTAAATCGAATCATAGTCACTTAGAATAGCTTTCTTTGCAACAAACTTGGGCTTCCACTACACAAGGAAAACCAATTTTTCGTCAAAAA